GCGCACTGTAGCAGTGTGCCACCGGGCCGGCCCCGAAGTTTAATCCTTCTCATACAGGCCATGTCTTGCAAGTTTATGTTTGGGTTCATTTTTCTTTGCATAATTCAAGGAATCATAAATCATGCCAAAGCCAGTTGTCTTGCTACCCCCAAAATGGGTTCTGAATACAAATACACAGGTGACATCTGGTGTGGTCTTGTACTTTTGACTAGCTTTTCCCAAATTCCTATCTTAGGTACTGTTGCCTTCCCAGGGTGAATGACGTCAACGACCATTTGTTTTCTCTGAAGTAGTAAGTTGGTCACAAACTTCCTGGTCCACATAGTTACTGTGTCACTCATGATGGCAGTCAATCCTCAAGGCAGCCAGGGAGGGAAAAAAACATGTTTATATTTTGACAATTTGAATATAATGTGTCTCAGTGTGGATCTTTTTGGATTGATCCTGCATAGAGTTTGTTGAGCTTCTTGAATGTTTAATATCCATGTCTTTCCTTAACTTTGGGATATTTTGGACCATTATTTATTCAACAAGCTCTCTGCCCCTCTTTTCATTCTTTTTTTTTTTCTTTGTGTTTTAAATTATTTTACTGTGAAAAATTTCAAACTTACTCTCTTCGATATTTTGGACCATTATTTATTCAACAAGCTCTCTGCCCCTCTTTTCATTCTTTTTTTTTTCTTTGTGTTTTAAATTATTTTACTGTGAAAAATTTCAAACTTACTCTCTTATTATTCTTGAAGTCCCGTAATGTGTATATTGGTCCACTCAATGGCATCCCGTAAGTCACTTAGGCTCTGTTCACTTTGCTTCATTCTCTTTCTGCTCCTAAGACTTAATAATTTCACATGACCTGTCTTTGAGTTCACTGATTCATTCTTCTGCCTGTTCAAGTCTGCAGTTGAATGCTTAGTGAGTTTTTCATTTTAGTTAGTGTATTTTTAGCTCCAGGATTACTGTTTCTTTTTCATAATTTCTTTCTCTTCATTGATAGAGGTTGAGTATCTCTTATCTGAAATGCTTGGGACCAGAAGCATTTCAGATTTCAGATTTTTTCAGATTTTGGAATATTTGCATTATACTTAGCAGTTGAGCATCCCAAATATGAAAATACAAAATCACAGATGCTCCCATGAGTATTTTCTTTGAGCATCATGTTGGCGCTGAAACAGTTTCGAGTTTTGGAGCATTTCAGATTTTTGGATTTGAGATGTTCAACCTATATTCTCACTTGTTCATATACAATGTTCCTGATTTCCTTTAGGTGTTTGTGTTTTCCTCTAGTGCTTTGAGCACATTTAAGACAATTAGTCTTTGTTTGGTTAAATTCAAAGCCTGTGATCCTTTATGGTCAGTTTCTGGAGATTATTTTGGTCCTTTAAATGAGATTATTTTGGTCTGAACTGGGAGATTGACCACTTCCTCCCAGCTGCACTGGGAAGTGGAGCGAGGGACAGCAAAAATGCCACGTATTTTCCTACTGTTTTTAGTGTGGCTTTTTCTTGATTGAGTGTTCACTTGGTTGCTGCAGATCTTTGCCTGGTTTCCAGAGCTTCCACAAAGCTATTTTAGTCAGTCAGTATTTGTTTCCATGATGTTTCCATGGGGGATTGGGAACCTGGAGCTTCGTAGTCTGCTATTTTGCTGACTTCAAACTTTACCCACATGGTGCTTTTGTTTTGGTTTTTGGTGGCCAACCAGCTATTTTTGAATGCCCTAATTTCCCAAAGAAACTCATAAGCTTTTCCTTCCAGTGTTCTAGTGCTCTTTTGTTTGCCTCAACTGTCTCCTTTTGCTCCAAGAGTCAGCAGGCTGTTTATTTGCCTTACAGTGTTTCAAGTAACCACCCTGAATGAATTTTGAGTTAGGCCATAACTTGCCTTGCCCCAGTCCTTCAAGGGACAAGCATAATTCTTTACAAATAAAGTCTGCTTTGCTCACTCTGGAATCGGGGACCAGCGTTTCACACTGGGAAAGCAGGCTGCGTCATTCAGAACCTTCAGATTGGCTGGCCAGTTATTAGTTCAGTTGGTTAGAGTGCGGTGTTATAACATCAAGGTTGCCAGCCACCAAAAACAATTAAAAAAACCTTCAGGTTGTTTTCAAAACCACCACCAAGCTGGGGAAAAGGGTAGGGCAAGGGCAAGGACAATGGGATGATTCACATACCTTTTCTGATGCTTGTAAGTTGCCTTTTTCTTGATTCAGTCTTCACTTAATCACTGTTAACCTTTGCCTATTTTCCAGAATTCTGATCGAGTTGATTGTTGCCGACAGTTTTTGCTTGATGTTTCCATTGTTTTTGTGAAGGAATGGGCTTATGGAGCTACCAAGTCCACCATTTTTGCTGACATCCCCGTAAATCTCTCTTTAATCACACAAAAATAACAGCATATATCTGGGCTGAATCAGTTGTTATTCAAGTTGGTTCCGTGGTTCCAGAAATTATCTGGATGTGAAGTACATGTTATAAAAATCACAAATGACAGTTAGGACAGTGTCTTGAGCAGACTGTTGTCAAGCTACTAACCATAGCATATATAGTTCTCCTGAGCCAATATACTGTTTACCACTTCCGTGCCTTTATTTTGTCCACGAGTCCCACTACTGTTCATTGTATACATAGTTAAATAGGAACAACCAGTATTCAGAAATCATTTCCTAGGGCCGGCCCGGTGGCGCACTGCTACAGTGCGCCGCTTAGGAGCGCGGCGGCGCTCCTGCTGAGGGTTCAGATCCCACGTACAGACTGGCCGCTCACTGGCTGAGCGAGGTGCGGGCGCAACACCGAGGGTTGCAATCCCGTTGCCGGTCACGAAAAAAGACAAAAAGGAAAAAAAAAAAAGAAATCATTTCCTATATGAAACCTTCCCAGGCACTCTTCTTCCAGTCCTCCAAGAGAGGTAATTACTTCTTCCATTTCATTCAACAGGTAATTTTTTAGCCAGTCATGCGTTTATTATCTTGTAAATAATACTTTGAAGTTTCAGAATGCTAAGATAATATATCATTTTTACATACCTGATACCTAAAAAGAAATGGTGACCTTCCTCCTGTTGTGACAGGTTGTTTATTTTATTTATTTGTTTTGGGGGCAGCTGGCTGGTACAGGAGGTGACAGGTCATTTTAATGCCTCTTATATTCAAGAATATTTGGGACAAATATATATTTCCATTTTTTTTGCTGAAGAATCTCATGGGCAGCTTACTAGAAAATAAACTAAAAAGGCTGGCTGGTTAGCTCTCTTGGGAGAGCGTTGGTGCTTGGAACACCATGGTCAAGGGTTTATATCCCCATACTACTAGCCAGCCACCAAAAAAATGAAAAGAGAAAGAAAAAAAGGAGTTCTAACCATTTAATCTTTCTCCCTTCAACTGCCGTGTTCCCCTATTTAAAATGTGCTCAAAGAGCCAATGCAACTCTTTGGATCCATGGATCAAATGTGATAGGCCATACATAACTTCTAAAAAATAACTTATTTTCTTTTCCATGACCGATAGGAATGAAATATGCTAAAAATTCACTGAACCTACATAAGTCAAAGTAAATCAGCAGTGACTATACCTAGATCTGTGGTTTTTAATCCTGTTTGTAGATGTTAAGTGAGAGGTTTTACCTCAGTGAGTGCTCTGTGCTCATATGACCATTAGTAATCCATCTTACTATTATTTGGCAGGCGAGAATTCTACCACTGAACCACCAATGCTTTCTTACTATTATTTGGTTGGTTCCATGCAAACCCGGAATGGGCTGGGTTGGAGCTTGTTGAAGAGGGTGTGTATGCAGTGGACAGGTTGTGCCACAGGTGAAATGACAGAATAGAATGAGGGGATCATATGTGGAGGAAGCTGAAGGTCTGAACACGATAGATGGACATTCATTTCCCCCAAAAGTTAAGAACTGTCAGTGATAGCCAGAATAGGGATTCAGGGAGGGAGCCAAGTAACACAAAAAGACTGCAAATGTTAAGTTTATTTTCTCAGGTTTTTGGGGATCTTATTCAAGAAATCTATTTGTCTCAAATGTAGGCAAGAAAATTAACTTGGGCCACCATACCCATGTGTGTCCTCACATGAGTACAGCACTCAGTCACTCCTACCACTTGAACTTGAGCTCATATTTGTTGAGCTTTATGGGAGGCTGGCCAGTTAGCTTAGTTGTAACACCAAGGTCGTGGGTTCAGATCCCCGTACTGGCCAGCTGCTGGAAAATAAATAAATAAGGATAGGGATAAAATTGGTCTTATCAATGTAAATATAGCGGCTTTCTAATTTTACATAGCTAAAACTTGCGATTTAGCAGTGAATCAAATTGACAAAAATCTCTAATTTTGTAGAGCTTTTCTTCTGGCAGGGGTAGACTGGGGAGACAGATAAGCCAAAAATATATGTTCGATGTTTTTAAAAGCAGTGAAGAAAAATAAGCCATGTGAGAGGACAGAAAGTAGTCTTTGGAAGGTCGTGCTATTTCAGATAGGCAGTTAGGGAAGGCCTCTTTTCTCATCTCCAGAGCAGAGGATTCATTTCCTTATTTTATGTATTGTATTACTTTTGACCTTTAATCTATGTTACAGGCAAAGAAGAGTAAAACCAAAATGCCATCTTTGGTAAAGAAATGGCAGAGTATCCAGCGTGAGTTAGATGAAGAGGAGAACTCTAGTTCCAGTGAAGACGACCGGGAGTCAACTGCGCAGAAGCGAATTGAAGAGTGGAAACAGCAGCAGCTGGTCAGGTAAAAGAAAGGGAATCACAGACGGGTGGGTTGTAGTTGCTGTTGTCTTAGAACAGTGATATTTTTAGAATCACAGCCCTTAATTGTTTTTATTCTTTATAAACGTATCTAAAACAGCTTTTGTTTTTGTTTTGGTGGCTGGCCGTTGCAGAGATCTGAATAAAAGTTTGTAATTCATAGAAATGTTTATTTCCTTATAAGTCATGGTCTAGTCTTTTTTCATACTTTCTCTTACTGATCATCTTAGGCAAAGGACCATCTTAACCTCAGTATATCAGGAAAAGTAGTCATCATTTACCATCTAGATACCATGGATCCTTTCCTAATATATTTTTTTTAACTTATTTTACAAATAACTTACAGAAGTAAGAATAAAAGGATAGGGAGAAAATTTTGTTAGCAATTTTAAAAAGAATTTTTTTTTTTTTTTAAGATGACCGGTAAGGGGATCTTAACCCTTGACTTGGTGTTGTCAGCACCACACTCAGCCAGTGAGCGAACCGGCCATCCCTATAGGGGATCCGAACCCGGGGCCTTGGTGTTATCAGCACCGCACTCTCCTGAGTGAGCCACGGGCCGGCCCCTTAAAAAGAATTTAAACATAGCAAATCAAATTTTTATTTCATATCTTCCTAGTTTTGAAGGTATACATACTGAAATGAGCTACATGCTATGAATGCAGCTAACTGTTCATCAGATGTCAGTGCATAAACCTGGAACATAACCATCTCATTAATACTGATGTCAGATTTCATATTTGTCTCTGATAGGTTCTAGCTTATTTTGGACTTATAAAAGGGTCCCATGTACCCATTCTGATAAGTGCTAGATAGAATTTAAGTTTCAACCCATACAAATAGAATTGCGCAAAAGAGAAACTGAAAAACATTAGATCCAAGGGTTCCTGATAGTATATTGAGGGATAAATATATCTGCCTTGAAGAGTCATAACTCCTATGGGCTCAGAAAAACTTGTATAAGAATGTGTTTTATTCCATCAGTGTGCTATTAATGGTTACCAGAGATATATCTATATAAAGTAAATTCACTTACATATATACAAAAAACTACACAGAGAGTGTGTGTGTTTGGTAGAACCATCAGAAATTTGATGGAGAATACACTGATATCTAGCTGAGAAACGAGAAACATTTTCATAAATAGACATGATCGGGTTTTTGTTTTAGATATAGACTTTTGTTTTGCTAGGAAATGAACAGTTTCTTTTTTTCTTTTTTGGGTGACTGGCTGGTATGGGGATCCAAACCCATGACACTGGTATTTTAAGTCGGCACTCTGCTCAGCTGAGCTAACTGGCCAGTGCTCATTCTTTTTCTTTCCAGTGAAGTAATCTGTGTGTTGTTTTCACAGTGGCATGGCAGAGAGAAATGCTAACTTTGAAGCCCTTCCTGAGGATTGGCGAGCAAGACTGAAGAGAAGGAAAATGGCTCCAAACACATAGTTTTCAAATTTAAAAAAAAAATTTTTTATTGTTTGTTTTGTGTTCAGTTCAGAGTCTTAACCAGTTTTACTGTTGTCAAGTAAACTATAAATGTTATGGGGGAGAGCAAACGTGTATAAAGTTTTCACATTCGTGAAATGTAATTTTTCTATTTTGCTGAAAGGTGAGGTGATTGGAATTGCTTTGACCTGGCTTCCCTTATTCTCACACTGGCAAACTTAGCATGTTATGTATATTAACTTCATCAGTCTTGAAGAACATTTGGCTCATGAGTATGACATGTCTGTAAAGGACTGACTCACTGACAAAAGGTGAAGCATTTTTGTGTCTAATAGAGGCTCATTTACTTCCTAATGTGGTGTGCTCTCTCTCATTATCTTCTACTCCAGAACAAGTGCAATTCAGAAGGCAGCTTTGTATTCTATCTTGCTTGACTGGGATTGTCAGGATCTCTTTCAGACCTCTTCCTCTACTCTGCCACCCCTGAAGTGCTGAGGTCTGTTAAGTGTTTTACCTTGTGCTGGTAGATGGCCACACTCTTTAGAGTAATTCTTTCTCACAAATTCCAGAACTGATAGCTCAGTCATTTCACACACTAGGTGGCATATTTAAGTTTTAATATAAGCAGCAGCACGTGGGGGTTAATATCCTTGATTTTGAGGATTTTACCCTCAAGTATGTGACAGTAAATGTAACAAGAGCCACTCTATGTACTAATGTCTCTCCATTGTCTTACCCTGTTCCAAAATTCACCTCCCTTCTTTATGTGAATGTACTTTCCGTAAAATTCCAGTATTTAAAAAGCAGTTTACTGTTCTGTACTTTCTATTGTATCACAATCAGGTAAAAGACACTTTAAACTGAAGAAAAGGCAAATTGTGTTTTAAAACTGTTTGTATTTCTCCAGTTTCTGACCTTCCTTGTAAATTTGTGTATATGCACTAATAAAGCTTTTTTTATACTTCTGATTGTTTATCCTTTTGCTCTTCTAAGTCTGTTACCCATGATTATGTAACCAGGACTTATTTTAAGTCAATTCTTAATTTTTTTTTTTTATTATTATTTATAGTCAAATACAGTGTGAGGCATGTCCAAACACTGAAGAACAGCTTTCAGGAAAGAGCAGCAGGATCTTGAGTGGGAGAGTAGGGGGCGTGTCTGTTACCCATGATTATGTAACCAGGACTTATTTTAAGTCAATTCTTAATTTTTTTTTTTTTTTTATTATTTATAGTCAAATACAGTGTGAGGCATGTCCAAACACTGAAGAACAGCTTTCATGAAAGAGCAGCAGGATCTTGAGTGGGAGAGTAGGGGGCGTGGGGGGGGCAGAGTTAGAAAAACAAACCTCTAGTACATTAGTCTCCCCTTATCAAAACCTCAGAGAGTACTGGACTCTATATATACTGTTTTTTTTTCCGTGTACATACATATACCTATAATAAAGTTTGATTTATAAATTAGGTACAAGAGAGATTAACAATTACATAAAATAGAACAGTTATAAAAATATACTGTAATGTTCTGTGAATGTGGTCTCTCAAAATATCCTATCCTACTGTACCATACTCACTTATTTTAGTTGACTGTGGGTAACTTGAAACCATGGATAAGCGGGACTACTACTGTACCGAGATGGTGCTGTGTGACCTAAATTTTTGGAATTTAGACCCTATCTATAATATTAGCTAATATATGACCTACTTAAGTCCTGGAAACGATGTAATGTGGTTAACATTTTGAAAAAAATAAAGGTGCTTTAGAGCTTTTTTTCTTTGACTATAAAAGTAATAATGTACTTATGGTTTGATTCATATAAAGTTAACCAAAGACACATAAAATTAATCAACAATAGTTTGACTTTTATTCCAGTATATTTCTATGCACATAATTAAAAATTTTTACCTAATGTATGAGAGAGTGTTGGATTTTATTTACCATTGCACTAATACATATTGGGATGACTATTTTGTACATAAAATTGTTTTTCTTGTTATTTGCATAAATTTCTGCAAATAAATTAAAGGCTATCAACTGGCGTGCTTTTAATTTGCTAACTTTGTTTCTTGTAGTTTTTCACTGTACTAGGTAATTTTCCAATTTTGGCTACAGGATGGAGAGAATAAATACGAAGGTGAAAGAGGCCCCCTTAGAACAGTGAATAACAGTTACCTAAAGCTAAGGAACAGCAAGCGATCTTGGGAATGTGTTGAGTACTGACGTTGTGCTTCTCAATCTGATTTCGATTCCTAGATTGGGGCTGTAATGAGTGAGGGGAAGAATGAGTCTGCCGGCCAGGGGTCAACCTTCCCGGGCTCCGCTTCCCCCGTGGGGGCGGGGCCTAGCTCCCGGAAGCGCCCGGCCGCCCCGCCCTTCCGCTCCCTGCTCGCGGTTGCCAGGCTACCTAGGCCGTCGCAGAAAGCGGTGGCCGGTGAGCTCGGCGAGTGTGTCTTCCGTCGGGTGCACGGCTGGACTCAGTACCCTGGGCCCTATCCTAGCGGGGGTCCCTCTGCTGCCGCGGCGTCGCGCCCACTCTTGCTGCCCAGGACGGGACGCGGAGGTGGTGGCGCTCTTCGTTTGCTCTCCCCGCGACCCTTCCCGTCACCTCGTTCCCCGGACTGGGCAGCTCTGAAGCCCTGAATTCCGTTCTCAGGGGCCACACTCCCGACCCTGACCTTTCTTTCCATCTACTCCGAAGGGACTACCGCGTACCCGCACCCTCATTGCTTTCACTTTCCTGTGGCGTCCTGGTGGCAGGCATCTCCCTTCTCAGGGAGAGAGAAGCATGTCGCCAGCAAGGGTCCCGGCGCCTCAGGATGAAGAGGCAGGAAGACACGCCGCCCTCCCTGACTGCTCAGGTGCGCCTCGGCCTCCTGGTGGGAGGAGAGGCTGGGTTGTCGGGGTTTCCTGAGTGGGAGCCGGAGGAGGGGTGCTAAGGGGGGCTGTATCGGCAGTGTTTTCACTTGTCCTGTTCTGGTTTGTAGCTTCTCCTGTGTAATCAGCTGCCCCTTTGGAAACTGGGCAGGGGTTGCGGCTGGATGCCGGTGTCACGACTGGTCTCGAGCATACGATGCAGAAATAACATGTTCCCAGCACTGGAAACAGACATAAAGCAGGAGGTCGGTGCACGCCCCCCAACGGGAACTCCACAGAAATCCAATACTAGATCCAAAAGTATATTCTGGTGGCACCTTTTTCCAGGTGGAGATCTTGATCCCCAAGATAGAATAATCCGGATGAATGTCTTTCACTTGATTTGTTTACAGAAGTCCTCAAGTACACTGTCCTATGAACAACGCTTGTGTACTTTTTAGCAGTTCAGTATCATTTGAAAGGACTTTCCTGATTAAGATGGCCTTTCCTTTCACAGACTCTTCCTGATCCCTATGAAGACTTTATGTACCATCACCTCCAGTATTATGGCTACTTTAAAGGTAATACAGTTCTTATCTAGCATCACCTTTCCTGGGTTCCCAAAGTGAATTGTTTTATTAACTGGAAGAGTTGTGCTTGGGTCCACTAATAAATGATTTTTGCAGTACCGTTAGTGAACGTACTTTCTTTCCCCATTGATCTGCTATGCCACCTGTGTCAAGTGACAGAGTCACTATATACAAGGGTTTGTTCGTGGGCTCTCTAGTTCACTGGTCTGTCTATCCTTGCACCATTACTATTATCTCTTAATTACTGTGTGGTATTAAAAAGAGAAGTCTTGATAATTTGGAAAGGCATGTCTTCCCACCTTGTTCTTCAAAAGCATCTTGGCTATTCTTGCATCTTTTTCTTTCTACTTAAATTTTAGAATTGGCTTGTGATGTTTAAAAAAACTATTGGGAGGGCCGGCCTGTGGCTCACTCGGGAGAGTGCGGTGCTGATAAGACCAAGGCCATGGGTTCGGATCCCCAAAGCATCTTGGCTATTCTTGCATCTTTTTCTTTCTACTTAAATTTTAGAATTGGCTTGTGACGTTTAAAAAAACTATTGGGAGGGCCGGCCTGTGGCTCACTCGGGAGAGTGTGGTGCTGATAAGACCAAGGCCATGGGTTCGGATCCCATATAGGGATGACCGGTTTGCTCACTGGGTGAGCGTGGTGCTGACACCACCAAGTCAAGGGTTAAGATCCCCTTACCGGTCATCTTTTAAAAAAAAACAAAAAACAAAAAACTATTGGGATTGCATTGTATCTATAGATCAAATTTCACAAAAAATGTCTATTTTCTAATACTGGCTTCTCCAATCTATGAATACAATATATTTCTCCATTTACTTAGGTTTTCTTTAATGTCTTCCAATAAAGATTTACAGTTTTTTTCATAGTATTTCATATTTTTATGCTCTTATAAATGTTATTTTCAAAATTTAATTTTCTAACTTTATGCTGGTATGTAGAAAAATGGAGTTTTTAATATTGGTTTTATTTCTAGTCACCTTGTTAAACTTTCTTAATAACTATTTCATTTTCTAAGTGGTTATTAGTTTGTTGAAAACTGAATTTCCAGTTTGCCAGATTTAGCAGGTGCCCTCAGGACAAAGTAGCTTCTGGCATCTGTGCTCCACTCCTGCCCTGATCCCTACCTTCTCTCGGGTTCGCCTCTCTTGGCAGCTCTTGCCTCAACTGGGTCTTTCTGCCTCCCAAGCCATTTCTCATTCCACGACCCCATGCAGTTTCTCAAGTCCCCTTCTCATTCTCTTGTTTTCTCAGTTGTAAAATGAGGATAATTATGCTTAACTCACATAAATTGGAACGTGAGAGCTCTTTGAAAAATGGGAAGTATTCATTGTAAAGACCTTTGGTGGTGGGTGGTGATAGAAGTAGTGGTGCTTTGGGGAGTAGTGTTTTGTTATTGATCTAGATGTGAGAAGTGATGAGCCAGCCTTCCAGCAACTTTAACTAAACCACCTTTTTTTTTTTTTTTTTTAAACCACCTATTCTTAGCTCAGAGAGGCAGTTTACCAAACTCTGCTACGCAACAACACGTTTGGAGGAATAACCCTCGATACCTGTTGAATGGCTCTTTTGGGGAAAGAGATGATTTGAAGCTGGACACCCTGAAAAAGGAGACACTTGTGTGTGAGTAATAATCAGTGTGTGTGACCCCCAGAACCTCACTGCCTTGACAACTTCTTCAGGTATTCAGGAGAACATAGCCTAACATGGGCAAGGCTTCAGCCCCTGTTTCTGACATCACTCAAAAATGTTCTCTCTAGATCTTCTTTTGGTTGTAGGTTTAAATTAAAATACTGTACATTCTGGGGTATCTTCCTACAAATTTTGGAAAACATATTGATTTTTCACACAGTTTTGATGGATATACTTGTTAAGGCTCTTTGCATAAGAGTAGAAAAAACCAATTCCAGCTAGTTTAAGCAGCAGTTTCTTCTGGAATCCAAGGACAGGAATGCAGTTGAATTTCTCTCTTAATACATATCTAACAAAACATCAATCCATTTCTCTGTTTTCCATATCCACCCCCACCCCTCAGTCCAAGCTACCATCATTTCTCACTATTGAAACAGCCTCCTAATTGGAAGTATCCTGGATTCTCTTGTTCCGTGCTGACCTCCCCAATCCATTTTCCACACAGCTATGTCCTTTTCTATATGCAAATCTGATTGTATCTCTTTTTTACTTAAAACCTTTGAATGACACAAGATCCAAAAGCCATAAAACATAATACTGATAATTTTTTGAGCAAATATTTAAACTTCTGTGTGGAAAAAATACCATTAAAAAAAGTAAAAGGACAAACTGAAAAAAAAATTTTTGCAAATATTTTAAAAGGTCAATTTTCTTAACATATAATAGCTCTTACAAATCAATAAGTAAAAAATGACCAAATAGAAAAATAAGCAAAAGAAAAATGAGTAAGCATTTTATAGAAAAACAAACACAGTCAATAACCTTATGAAAACATACTCAACTTCACTACTTATTAAAGATGCAAATCAAAACGTCAAGGTACCATTGTCTTAACTATGAGATTTGGGCAAAAGATTTAAAAAATGTTATACCAAGACATAACAACTACAATTACTTGAAGTTGACACGACAAGCAAACAGAAAGGACATTGTTGGGTGGGAGGGAGGAGAGGGAGGAGGGAGGAAGGTTTCGGTAATGGGCCACAATAATCAACCACATTGTATATCGACAAAATAAAAATTTAAAGGAAAAAAAAAAAAGTTATACCTATTGTAGGTTAGGGTTTGGGGGGGACACACTTTCCTATACTGCTATTGGGAATGTGAATAGGTAGAGTATTTTAGGAAGGCAATTTGGCAATAGCTTACACTTTGCTATAGCAATTCCATTTTCAGATATGTATTTTGTATGTTTGCTCACACCAATTCCTGACAGCTCTTTCACTCTGCATCCCAGAGCTCCTTGCAGGGAGTAGAAAGGCAAGCACTGAGCAATGGGTTGACAAGGAGACTGGTCAGGGTGGGATGGCTCAGGAGCCAACTGACCCTCCCCTTCAATTTTCTTGTGTCCCATTTGCTGACACTCGAAATTCCATTAATAAAACAATTGCCAGTCTTCACATAATAAAAATGTAAAATTCAACAACAACGTGAATGAGTTTTAGTAAGAGTATAATTGATAATCTTTTTTTTTCTGTTTTGATCATTGAAGTGAGGAAAATATTTTATCTTTATAGCAAAGGGTTTATTATGTTTTGTTTGTTTATTTATTTTTTAACCAGAAAAGTACAAAGGAAAAAAATAACGGATTAGAATCTGCTTTAAAAAAAAAAAAAGAGGCTGGCCCGTGGCTCACTCGGTAGAGTGCGGTGCTGATAACACCAAGGCCACGGGTTGAGATCCCCTTACCGGTCATCTTTTATTTATTTATTTATTTTCCTTTTTTGTCTTTTTTCGTGTCCGGCAATGGATCGCAACCCTCAGTGTCGCGCCCATACCGGACCAGGACCGGCAACGGGATCGCAAACCTTGGTGCTGTGCCTGCACCTCGCTCAGCCAGTGAGCGGGAACCGGTCTGTATGTGGGATCCAAACCCTCGGCGGGAGCGCCGCCGCACTCCCAAGCAGCGCACTGTAGCAGTGCGCCACCGGGCTGGCCCCCTGGTCATCTTTTAAAAAATAAATAAATAAATAAATAAATAAAAATAAAAAGATTTAAAAAAAAAGGAATATGGGAGTACTTTTTTGAAGTCCTCGCTGCCCCACCTTTAATATAGGAGGGGAAAAAAATACACATCTCTCTTTGTCTCTCTCTCTTCATGTGTCTACATATTTTTTCCTTTTAATTGCACACAGGGGATCCTATATACAATCTTTGACTTTTGTTGTTGTTGTTCAGTGTATGTTAGAGGTTATTTTCATATATGTGCAAAAAAAAATCTACCTCATTCTTTTTAAAGGCGCCTATAAGTGTTCCATCTCATTAATGTATCATAATTATTTTTAACTCCCCTTTTGTTGGATGCCTTGGTTTTTTTCACTTTTTCGTTATTTGAATATTGCTACAGTGAGCACCTTTGTATATGTATAGTGATAAACTTGCGCGAGAAAATCTTCAAGGTAAATTCTTAGCAGTGGGATTGCTGGATCAAAGAGTATGTGTATTATAAACCCTATTAGATAATGCCAAACTGCTTTCCAGAAAGGTTGCACCAATTTGTTCTCTTGACAGTGGGTTCTGAAAGTACCTGTTGACTTACAACTTTGCCAGGATGATTGTGAAAACACATAAATGTTTTTCCTGTTCATTAGGTAAAAAACTGGTATCTACTAGTCACTTTGATTTCTTTAATTATGAGTGAAATTGAACAGTTTTACCATCTTTTAAAATATTTATTGCTTTTACCTCATTAAACCATGGGAAAAAGATTTAGATAGAAATACAGGGGCCCAAGGGCCGGCCCCTGGCTCACTCGGGAGAGTGTGGTGCTGATAACACCAAGGCCACAGGTTCGGATCCTATATAGGGATGACCAGTTCGCTCACTGGCTGAGTGTGGTGATGACAACACCAAGCCAAGGGTTAAGATCCCCTTACCGGTCATCTTTAAAAAAAAAAAAAAAAAAAAAATACAGGGGCCCAAAGTGGGCGTGAGAGATGAGAAGGGGTGGGGTACATTAGGCAAAAAAAGAAAAAGATCCCTGGACAAATGATGCCTCCTTCTTCCTCTTTCTAGGGCCTACCTGTTTGTCTTCAACTGTGCACAGACAGGTGGAGGCTGTAAGCAGAGGTATTTCATGTCCTTCCAGACCAGGAAATTCAAACTCCTTCATGGGAATATGCCTTCACTTCCTACTCTCCCCACCAGAGCTGAGAATTACCAGGCAGGCCTGGGATTCATGTCTGATGGGCACTAAGGGGCCTTCAGCCTTAGTTTAGTTCTTCTTCTTTTCATTTCCTTTCTTTTTTTTTTTTTCCTTTGGTGGCTGGCTGGTAGAGGGATCTGAACCCTTGACCTTGGTGTTGTCAGCTCCATGCTCTAACCCAAGTGAGCCAACCAGCCATTTCTTGTCTTTTCTTTTTTTCTTTTTTTTTTTTTTTTCCTTTTTGTCTTTTTTCTTGACCAGCAACGGATCGCAACCCTCAGTGTCGCGCCCGTACCGGACCAGGACCGGCAACGGGATCGCAACCCTCGGTGTTGCACCCGCGCCTCGCTCAGCCAGTGAGCGGCCGGTCTGTATGTGGGATCCGAACCCTCGGCAGGAGCGCCGCCGCACTCTCAAGCGGCGCACTGTAGCAGTGTGCCACCGGGCCGGCCATTTCTTGTCTTTTCTTTCTTCCTCTCATTTCCTTTCTTTCCGTCTCCTTGAAAGCCTTTCTTTTCCTTCCTCTTTTCTCATTCTCCCTTTTCCCACGGGCTCTTCCTCTCTTCTGCCTTCTCGCTCCTTCTCTGCCCCTCCCCTTTCTATCCTCTTTGTTTTATAAATCTCTCTGTCCTTTGAATAGTTATATTATGAACCTGAAATTTAATGTATAAGTTGTTTCACTATAGTTGTAAAGTTTTATGTACTTTTTTTTTTCTAAAATGCTAAGGGGTAAATTTAAAGTTCCCTCTCTTTAAACAAAAATAATAAAATGGGGCCGGCCTGGTGGCGCACTGGAGAGTGCGCCGCTTGGGAGCGAGGCGGCGCTCCCGCTGAGGGTTCGAATCCCATGTGGGGACCGGTTCCTGCTCACTGGCTGAGCGCGGTGCGGGCGCAGCACCGAGGGTTGCGATCCCGTTGCCGGTCCCCGGTACGGGCGCGAAACTGAGGGTTGCGATCCCGTTACTGGTCAGTAAAAAAGACAAAAAGGAAAAAATAAATAAATAAATAAAATGTATTAAGTGACTTTATATTCATTGTAACCCACTGTTGAAGTGTCTCGGACCCATTACCTTTAATTTTTTGAAAAAAGCTTCTAACTTACACTAAAGCTTTATATTTAAATATTTAATAGACTATACAGAATTTTAACTTAACATTTTATAATTTTGAATCTATTATCCTAGACTAAATCTCCTTCTTGTAGGAGGAACATGTCATACGATTGTATATCTGTGCTAATATTTTAATACAGTGCTTAAACTTATTTAGTTGTTATAAATGAAGAATAAAGTTCCCAAAGACAAAAAGGAAGATGTTCACTCATTCCCTTTCCCTTTGGCAGATTCATTTCTGCTGAGTTCACCACTTCTTAGGAGTAGACAGCTTCTTTATGATGAGTTGGACGAAGTAAATCCACGTCTTCGAGAACCCCGAGAGCTCTTTGCATTTTTCTCTAGTAATGGACCACTGCAGGCTCCAAGATGGCCAATAGAATGTGAGGTCATCAAAGAAAACGTTCATCATATTGGTAATGTGACTATGTGTAATGGTCTTGCTGTTCTGCCTGAGTTTATTACTAAACCTTAGAATTTTAAGTCCTGTATACTGAAGTGTAAGGCAGGACAGAGTCAACAATTATTAACTCACCCTGAAAAAATTAAACTATGAGAAACTGACACTCACCAAAGGCAAAAGCTACACAAATGTATAAATTAGAATGTTTCTGAGTTTTTTAGAGTGGGAGAGTATCCTTCATAGAGACCAAAGTATATAAATACTTAAATCTGTTTTCTAGATTATTTCTGTCTCAGTATTAATATGCTTGGTTGAGTTGTATTTTACCAGCCTTGGTATAATTGATGAAGTCTATATATGCCTGAACATAGTTTTTAATGTTTTTAATTATATTTTGAGTTTGTTGCACTTTTTTATGACATTGTTGGTCATATCTGTGAGCCCTTGGTATAATACAATCTTTTACATCCATTTTATGAAGCATATACGAAGTAAACTGTATTGAAAACTGGGAACATGTCTAATTACTGGAACACTGTATTTACTAAACATCATGTCTCTGCTTTAGGTGGCTCGATAAACAACTGGATGTTTCGTATTTTCTCACTCCCCTCTTATAATATTCAGTAAAAATGTATTAGCATTTACCATATGCTAAGTATAGTACTTGGTGCTAGACACATAGTGATGAACAAGGCAGAGACACCCAGAGCTCATGGACTAGTGGGGAAGTTAGACATTTTACCAGGCAGTTGCATAGAGCTTGATCCCTCTGAGTACACCTAACGCAGCCTGAAGATCAGCACAGGTTTCCAAAAAGAATTGACATGTATGGATCTGAAGGATGAATTAGAAATGATCCAGTTTAGAGGTCAAAGAAAAGTATTTCAGTTAGAGGAAACAGAAAAGGAATATGGCGTGTTTGGGTAACCATGGAGCATTGATCATGAAAGTCAAGAGAAGAGTCTGAAAATATAGGGAGGGGTTCACTCAGTGTTTTCAACTGGGAACAGTACTGCTCTTAGGGTGTTTGGAAATGGGGGTGGGGAGCATTTTGAGTTGGCACAATGACTGGGAGTCTTAAGATCCTCTGTTTCTATCCTGTACTGTTTTTAGATAAAAGTCTAAGTTATCTGGCCAGACAATAGGATTTTGCTATTCCCTATATTAAATAGTGGAACTGAGTAGGTATTAGACCAAAACAGAATTCCTGTGAGGATTTGTGACTCAGTTCCAAGATGGGAAAAATAAAGTGAGAAACAGGAATTTAATAACCAAGTTATTAACAGTGTTAATCCACTAAATCAAAAGATTTTTTAAAAGGCAATTAAAAAAAAATTCCAAGGAAACTTATTGACAAGCACTTTATTGTTAAAAATGAATTGTCAGGGCCGGCCCAGTGGCGCACTGGATAGTGCGCTGCTTGGGAAGCGCGGCGGCGCTCCCGCCTGAGGGTTCGGATCCCACATACAGACCGGTTCCCGCTCACTGGCTGAGCGAGGCGCGGGAGCAGCGCCGAGGGTTGTGATCCCGTTGCCGGTCCCCGGTCCGGTACGGGGGCAACACTGAGGGTTGCGATCCGTTGCCGGACACGGAAAAAGACAAAAGACAAAAAAAAAAAAAATGAATTGTCAAAGCCTCATCACTTCCCGTCACCTTTAAGAAAATAGATTGATATTGTCTTTTACTGAGTTGTGTCTTTATATGCCCTTGACGTTCATGAGTGACTAGAATACTTAAAATGATATTGAGAAGTTGCCAAGTCTCGTATAAGAAATCTTTTTTTAATTCAGTGCTAATGAAAAAGTGTTTCCTCTGAAAAAATTGATAAACCTGTCCTCTATGTTAATAAAAAGTAGATGACCATATTTTCCTGACTTCAAAGAACCTCGGGGCCAAATTTTGAAGAGCTGTTGTACCAATTATATTCACCTTTCTGGTTTTTCTTTAAGTCTTTTATTTAAAGTTTATTATTTCATTGTATGTGCTTTTTGTTAAATCTCCTTATAGTCTCCCTGGAAAAAAGCAACACATAATTTACAAACAAGCTAGAAATTTGGGGTGGGAATTTGGTTTGCTTCAATCAAACTAGCTATTTGAATAATTACTATTATAATTTTATATCAGTTCTAATAATGCCTTTTATATTATTTCTTATTTTTTACTTTTTGAAATGTCTTCTTTCAGAGTGGGTTCCACCTCAACCAGAATATTTCTATCAACCTACAGGAAATGAAAAGATTCCAGAAATTGTAGGAGAGGAAAAAGGCACAGTTGTCTATCAGTTAGATTCAGGTATTGTCATTACACTGAACAGTGAATGATTAATCACGACAAAGTTATAGTATAACTATATGTTCCATAATAAAAGTGATTTTTAAAATCCATAGTTTAGTGATAAATAAACTGTCTTTTCCAGACCAGACTGAGTGGGAACTCTGATAGTCATGACCAGTTAGCTTTAAAATTTCAATAGTTTTTAAAATGTCAATACATTTTTCTTAATAGTTCTGTCAGTTTTACAGCTGCTCCATTGTCATTTCCCCTTCCTGAAAATCAGGTGTTAGATCATCTTTAGGGAACCTGCTCTTTTCTCTACCTCCTTTATGTACTTTAGTGAGTACTTTGTTATATGTGCATATGACTGTCACTTAATACGTGGTTTCCTGCATTAAGTTGCAAGCTTCTAGGGATAGAATACATGTCTTTTATAAAAATATGCAGAACACTATACCCAACAACAACAAAATACCCATTCTTTTCAAGGGCTCCTGTTAGATTCCTCAGAATAGACCGTACGGTAGGCCATAAAGCAAGTCTTCAAACATTTAAAAGGATTGAAATCAGATGAATTACATTCTCTGACTACAACAAAATTAAATTAGAAATCAACAACAGAATGAATTCTGGCAGGGTTGGCTGGTTAGCTCAGTTGGTTAGAGCATGGTGTTGATAACACCAAGGTCCAGGGTTCAATCCGTATACCAACCAGCCACCAAAAAAAAAAAAAAAAAAAAAAAAAAAAAAAAAAAAAAAAAAAAAAAAAAAAAAAAAAAAAAAAAAAAAGAAATCTGAGAAATCCACAAATATTTGGAAATTGAAACAGCACATTTCTAAATAATCTATGGGTTAGAGAAATCACAAGAAGAGCTCAAAAATATTTTGAACTGGATGAAAATAAAATCACATTATATCAAAACTTGTGGGTTGGATCCCCATACTGGCCAGCTGCCAAAAAACTTTTTAAATAAATTTTTTAAAAACCCTTATGGGGTGCAGCTTAAAGCACTGCCACAACATTTATGGCTTCAAGTGCCTATTTTTGTTTGATTGTTTTTTTTGGCAGCTGGCCAGTACATGGATCTGAACCCTTGACCTTGGTGTTACCAGACCATGCTCTAACAAACTGAGCTAACTGGCTAGCCCCAACTGCCTATATTTGAAAGCAAGAAATATCTCAAATCAGTTACCTAAGCTTCCAGTTTAATAAATTAGAAAAATAAGAGCAAAGTAAACCCAAAGCAAGCAGAAGGAAGGAAATAATAAAGATAAGAATGGAAATCAGTGAAATAGAAAACAGAGAAATAATAGAGAAAATCAAACCAAAGGTTGGTTCTTTGGAAACATCAACAAAATTGACAAAACTTTAGCTAGACCAAGAAAAAAAGAATAGAGACACAAGTTATCAAAATCAGGAATGAAAGAGGGGATGTAACCACCAAACCTACAGAAATCAAAAGAATTACGAGATAATTCTATTAACAACTTTTTGCCAACAAATTAGACAACTTTTTTTTTTTTTTTTCCCTTTTTGTCTTTTTTCGTGTCCGGCAACGGGATCGCAACCCTCGGTGTTGCGCCCGCACCTCGCTCAGCCAGTGAGCGGGAACCGGTCTGTATGTGGGATCCGAACCCTCGGTGGGAGCGCCGCCACACTCCCAAGCGGCGCACTGTAGCAGTGCGCCACCGGGCCGGTCCCAAATTAGACAACTTTGATTAACAGGACAAATTGCCAGAAAGGAACAAATTACTGAAACTGACTCAGGAAGAAATAAAAATTCTGGACAGACTGTTACAAAGAAATTGAATCAGTAGTTTAAAATCTTCCCACGAAAAAAACTCAGGCCCACTTGGCTTGACAGGGTTTGTTCAAATTAATTTTTTTTTTTTTTGGTGGCTGACCAGTACGGGGATATGAACCCTTTGAGCTTGGTGTGCTCTAACCAACTGAGCCAACCAGCCAGCCATGAATGCTATCAAACATTGAAACATGAAATAGTACTAGTTTTTACCAATTCTGAAAACAGGAGGAGGAAGTTTCCCAGCTGTTTTTATGAAGCCAGTATTGCCCTGATACCAAAGCCAGACAAAGACATTACATGAAAGCTATAGACCAATATTCCTCAGGAATATAAATGCAAAATCCTCAACAAAATATTATGAGACCTAGTTCAGTAACATATAAAAAGGATTATACACTGTGACCAAGTGGGACATATACTTGAAATGTAAGATTGGTTTAACATCTGAAGATCAATTATGGAATACAACATTTTAATAGAATAAAGGACAAAAACCACATGGCACAGAAAAAGCGTTATACAGAAATGGCAGGGTAGGAGCTCCAAGAATCAGTTCCTCTACTGAAGCAACTATTAAGCTGGCAAAAGCTAACAGAATCAGCCTTTTCTGAACTCTGGAATTATAAACAGCCACTTAGCGGAGTATTTAATGAAGAAACAAGCTGCCTTAGAGACAGCAGCCCACATTCCTGGTGTGGCATGCTGGAATGGGGGTGGGTGGGGGGAGGTGGACAATATGGACCTTATTCTCAAAAAACTGGTTGTGATTTTTTTTTACCTGTCTTCAATTCTCTGAGGAATTAGAACAAAGGCTAACTTTTGTTTCTTCCCCCTTGGGCTGAAGTAGTTTTTCCAGGTGGCATCAGTCAAAAACATTTAAGTACAATACACTGCCCATAGTCACCTAGACAAGGGATGGCAAATGAGGCAAGCAGCCTGTGGGCTCAAAAGCCTGTGAAGGAGAAAGAGTCTTGGGGGGTTGAGGGCTTGGAAGGGCTGCCACATATACTGGAGAAGGCGGAATGCATGCCCAGAGCTGGATCCATGTTCAGAAAAGACTTCAGAGGACTGTAGACTTGCACCTCTGGCTGGTCTTTGCACTTTGTCTAAGCAGGAAGTGAAGGCTGAGATTGAGTTGTTGGCATCCTGGCTTAGTGTCAAGGAATGCCCCCCTCAGAGCCAATCTGCAAAGACTAGGAAAATTTTGTGTTTGTTTCTTTTTTCATTTTGGCTCCTGGTGTTTAAGGACATCTCTGTCACATTTCTGGCCAACCACCGATGTAATGGAACAGAGACTTAGTGACCATACATAAGAAAGACTGAAAGCTTTCCCTTGGATCAAGAACAAGATAAGGATGCCCGCTTTCGTCACTGCTATTCAACATTGTGCTGGAAGTTCTAGCCAGAACAATTAGACAAGAAAAAGAAATAAAAGTCATCCTGAATTGGAAAGGAAAAATAAAACTCTTTATTCACTGGTGACATGACCTGATATATCATAGAAAATCCCAAAGAAAACACACACACAGATAAAACACACTATTAGAGCTAATAAATTCAGCAAAGTTGCAGGGTACAAGACCCAAACACAAAAATCAGTTCTGTGTCTATACACTAGCAATAAACAATTCAAATATTAAATTAAGACCATCCCATTTACAAATTTTAAAAAGTATCAAAAGAGTAAAATACCTATGAGTAAATGTTACTAAGGTGAGAGACTTGTATACTGAAAACTACAAAACATTGCTAAAAGAAATTGAAGATCTAAATATATGGAAAGGCATTCCATGTTCATGGATTGGAAGATTTATTTTGTTAAAATGGCAATACTACCCAAACATCTACAGATTAAACTCAATCCCTATCAAGATCCCAGTGGCCTTAAAAGAAAAACTTTCAATGGTATTTTATGCAGAAATAGAAAAGCTGATCCTCAAATTCATATGGAATTGCAGTGGGCCCTGAATTGCCAGTATTGAAGAAGTACAAAGTAGGAGGACTCACACTTCCCAATTTCTTTTTTTTTTTTTTTCCTTTTTGTCTTTTTTCGTGACCGGTAACGGGATCACAACCCTCGGTGTCACGCCCGTACCACGACCAGCAACGGGATCGCAACCCTCGGTGTTGTGCCCGCACCACGCTCAACCAGTGAGCGGACCGGTCTCTATATAGGATCCGAACCCTCGGCAGGAGCGCCGCCACGCTCCCAAGCGCCGCACTCTACCGAGTGTGCCACCGGGCTGGCCCCAATTTCAAAACATACTACAAGGATATAGTCATTAAAACAGTGCAGTACGGGCCGGCCCGGTGGCGCACTGGAGAAGTGTGCTGCTTGGGAGTGCGGTGGCACTCCCGCCAAGGGTTCGGATCCCATGTGGAGACCGGTTCCTGCTCACTGGCTGAGTGCGGTGTGGGCGCAACACCGAGGGTTGCAATCCCGTTGCCGGTCCCCGGTACGGGCGCGACATCGAGGGTTGCAATCCCGTTACCGGTTAGTAAAAAAGACAAAAAGGGCAGAAAAAAAAAAAAAACAGTGCAGTACTAGGCCGGCCCATGGCTCACTTGGGAGAGTGTGATGCTGATAACACCAAGGCCACGGGTTCGGATCCCATATAGGGATAGCTGGTTCGCTCACTTGGGAGATCGTGGTGCTGACAACACCAAGTCAAGGGTTAAGATCCCCTTACCGGTCGTCTTTAAAAAAAAAAAAAAAAATAGTGCAGTACTGGCACAAGGATAGGCATATAGATCAGTGGGATAGAATTAGAGAGTCCAGAAATAAATCCACATGTTTATGATTAATTGATTTTCATCAAGGGTGCCAAGACTTGTTCAATGGGTAAAGAATGGTCTCTTCAACAAATGGTGCTGAAAACTCAAAAAGAAATAAAAATAAAAAATAAAAAGATAAAACAAAAAATGGTGCTGAGACAACAGGATATACACATACAAAAGAATGAAATTGGATTCCTCCTTCACACCATATAAAATAACTCAAAATGGGCCTAATGGCCTAACTATAAGTGCAAAAACTATAAAACTTCTTAAAAGAAAACATAGGGATAAATCTATGATTTAAATTTGGCAAAGGATTCTAGATATGACACCAAAAGCATGACTCAAAAGAAAAATTCGCTGGCTGGTTAGCTCAGTTGGTTAAAGCACAGCCTTATATCACCAGGGTCACAGGTTCAGATCCCCATACTGGTCAGCCACAAAAAAAAAAAAAAAAAAAATTGAGAGTTTGGACTTCATTGGACTTCATGTAAAGTTAAAACTTTTGCTCTTCAAAAGACACTATTAAAAAAAAATGGCAAACCACAGACTGGTAGAAAATAGTTGCAAATCATACATTTGGTAAAGGACTTGTATCCAGAATCCAGTGTAAGACAACCCAACTAAAAAATGGACAAAATATTTGAATAGCTATCTTGCCAAAGAAAATGTATAAATGGCTTTTAAGCACATGAAAAAATGCTCAACATCAGTAGTCATTAAAGAAATACAAATAAAACTTGAGATACTTCTTCACCTCCACTAGAATGGTTGTGATAAAAAGCGAGATAATAACAAGTGCTGAGGAGGATGTGCAGCATGTGGGTAACAGGAACATTTCAGACTGAAAAGAGAGGAAGTAATGCTAAAGAGCAGTGAGGCAAGGAATTGAATACGAACATTCCCAAGGAAGGGGAAGTAAATTTTGAATAATGGCAGGATGTCAAGTGGTAATAGGAATGGACATGAGAAAAGAATAAAAATATTAGGGCTGGCTGGTTTGCACAGTTGGTTAGGGTGTAGTGCTGATAACACCAAGGTCTAGGGTTCCATCCCTGTGTTGGACAGCAACCACCAAAAAAAAAAGTAATGGACATGGGGAGGTAGAGAAGCCGCCCAAGAGGACATCTTTTTTTTTTTTTTTTTTTTTTTTTTTTTTTTTTTTTTC